CCTCCTCCTCCTGCTCCACCCCCCTCCCCCCGTGCTTCATTCCACACCTCCACTCACTATCGCATCCCTCTATATCGTCAGCTTGCCCTCTTCGCCTTTCAACCCTCGCCCCCTCTCCAGTGTCAGGATCGAATGCACCAGGGGATATTGCAAAGCTTACCCTCCTGGTACACGCCATTGCCAACGACTTTAACAACGGATATTTAGTTTCAAATTATCGACAAATTCATTTCCCTCGACGTTAAAGGCACGGTGACTCATGTCTGTCATTATACTTCATATTTTCTCTTCTTCGAAGTAATTTACTGGTGAACTAGGGACCAATGCTATGGGTTGAAAAATTACAAAGCTGGAAACCAGTGCTGAAATGGAAAATATTGTAATCCGGAATGAAATGAATGCCGGGAGGAAATGTGGAGAAATTTTGAGCCATGAATTTTTCAGGTGATATTCATCCAGCGGTCGGCTAATTAACCAGGCATTGGAGAATCATGAAAAATGCAGCATTCGGACGAGTTTTCAAGGATGGATTAAGCATTTGGGGGGCAGTCACATGAATTTCACAATTTATTCAAATCTCGGAGGGTAACAAGAAAATAGCGACAGTTTTAATCATGGAAAAAACTGAAATCAGGGATGAGCAATTTCAAACAATTTGAACTTACGTAAATCGATCAAATTAGTCATGTACATGAGTTTAAGGTTTAGAAGAAGATAGTTCGTATTAAGTTAGAGAGTCATTATAGATTTTTGAAGATAACGAGATGAAAAATTTGAAGTGAAAAATAAATTTTCGAAACATAATTTTTACATGCAGTAACCGTGGTTTTTAAAAATCAGTAGCAATACAGTACAATTGAGTCAAACAACGTATTTTGACGTTATTTCTATGATACTTTTCCCGCAAATTTTTCATCCATGCAGAATAGCAGTGAATAAAAATGGTAATTCAGAGTTTAATCAAAGTTCCGTTGAAATATCCAGTAATTTCGCACCATGAATTTCCCAACTAATATCAGCGGTGGCAGATTATCCTGAATTAAAAAATAATGAAAAATCCTGTATTCGGCGGGTTTTCCTCTGTTACCCTAGTATTTGCACCATGGTCACATGAAACTCATGCTGATTATCGTGGAATGCCGACTACATAAAGTAGCAAGAGAGCCTCGCGAGTTTTAATAAACGATTTCACATCTTTTCTTCC